TTACTGGCCTGTACTCGGAATTAATCCCCGCATAGAAACTCCTTTCTCATAGATTGTAGAATACATTTTCTTTTAAAACGGCCGTGTTCTCTATTTTACCGGTTCTGTCATCTGAAGGACACATTTAAATATTACCCACGGATTTGATAACGGGTTTAACTCCGTGTTTGACACGTTATTTACATGACAGATTTTTAATAAATAAACAAATGTGTAACACATATATCTTCTGTAAATTGACAATAAACGTCGATTTGAGATATCGGACATATCCTGGTTTAAGTTTCTATGTATTTTGATTTTCACTTCACTTTCTAGTATTTAGTTGATCTCAAATAGATTTTGTGATTTACTCTATCATATTTACCAATAAATTGTAAACATCTTATGTTAGCATTTTTCTCTGTTTTGATTTTTTGTTGTTTATTATTCTTTCTTAGTTTTATTCTTTGACATAAGCCGGTTCAAACAGAGGTTAAATTGATAGCAATGGGATCTCCTTTACTGTGTTTATTAGTTCATATAATACAAACGCTATCCGCGTATCCGCTTTAGGAATATCGGAAGGACTTTCCATATTTGGACGCTAAGACCACGAACATATCTGTGACTAAACTACCGCTCAACTCTTTAGTCGCGCTTTGATTCCTATGAGTTTAAACGGAGATACGCACACTACTAGACTTTTAGTTGTGAAACGAAACAGTTGAATGGGCTGCAAAACATTCGACAATCGCACAACAGTTGTGCGATAAATTAGTCAAAGGTATGCGCTCGCTTTTAGTCTAGTGTCCTAACATAATAATGGAAAATTCATTGTACCAGTGAACTTTGATCAATAAATCTTTCTGCTATAAACAAAAGCATTATATCACCAAGGAGATTTTATGATCGTAAATGTCACAAGCTACTGGCATAATAAGATTTATTGAATTGCTATATAGCATATTAAATAATAACCTACATATTCATGGGTTTCACTAAAACATTCTGATTTTCTAATTTAATTTTTAAAACTTAATATTTCTACAAAAGATCAGTTAACTGTAGATGTTTTAATATTAGAACAGTTAGTTAAAGCTACTTATTTAAAAAAAAAATGAAAAAAATTGGCGCCATAGCGAGGACAACGTTAAACTAAGTCTTCAGTCGTAATTTAGATTAAGCAAATTTAAATCTTAACCCATTGTGGTAAGGATTATAAAAGCTTGTAGGATATACTGGCTGGATAGGGACTGGCTAGATTATTTAACGTATTTAGCATTGTTGTGCTCCACTTTACTTTCATTTGTTTACATACAATGCGGATACGAGACAGATCATTATCAGTACTTTGCATTTTACTGTTTCTTGTTTTTGTACTCCATTTTTTTCTTTTATTGCAACACAATTTATTTTTTATCACCTTAACCAGGAAGGTTAAATGGTATTCACTCTTGATTTTTTCCACGTTTTTATTAACGTAATAAAATAAAGAGTAATAATTACTTTTTACAAGTGGAAGATTTCGAAAAATATTAACAGTCAGTTTTACAAATGCAGAAAAAGACCAAAAATGTTTTTGCTCATTTGCTAAAAATTTAAAATAATAACATCTAAGAGATGGCAAAAGTGAGATCGAAACAGACAAGGAAATGTATAATCTATTAGTTGTTGCTTGCGACTTCGTCCACGTGGTATTGAAAAATAGAAAAAATTATATGGTCTGTGTTACTCAGTAATAACGTAGCTCTTTAACGGTAAAATAATTTTTAAAATCGGTCCAGTAGTTTTTGAGTTATTTCAATACATACAAAAATACAAATCTTTCCTCTTTATAATATTAGCATAGATTATTATAGACAAGCGGTTTCTTGTGACTTCGCCCGCCTGTAATTAAAAATAATAAAAAACATAGCTAATGTTACTCACAGATAAATTACCTTTCTAACAGTGAAATAATTTTTAAAATCGGCCCAGAAGTTTTTGATTTATTTACACACAAAAATACAAATCTTTCCTCTTTATAATATTACAATAGATAGACCCGTTTGGAATCTCACAGTCGTTAAAAATTATTCTGTTACTATAAATTGTCCATCAACAAAAGTTTCTGATAAATACATTAAGTATCTAAATAAAAGTGACATTTATTAGCTGGAGATATCAGAAAATCGGTCAAGCATTTTAATGACTAGCAGCAGAGATATTCTAAACGGTTACAGTAGCTACGTAAAGTTTCGGTTGTGCATCCGATAAAAACTGGAGTCACGTTCAAGGGCACCGCATTCACTGACCGAGTTATCTGATTGTTAGGCTGTATTTGTTTTGGTGCGACTAAGGTAATGGAATAGTGATAGCTTACCGCATCATTGAGTTTATAATCTTCAATGCTTACAGTCAGGAGCTTATTTTTATCGATGCACCACGAAAAGACTGTTCTAAAACCTTGTATAACTATTCCTTGCTCTGAAGGATTTGTGTGTTCCAGCGATTGGAGATACTTTTTCAATATACTGATGTTATAAAGAGGAAAGATTTGTATTTTTGTATGTATTCGATTCACGTAAAAACGACTGGGCCGATTTTAAAAATTCTTTCACCGTTAGAAATGTAATTTATCTGTAGGTAACGTAGTCTACAGTTTGTTACTATTTTAATTTCATGCGGACGAAGTCGCGGGCAACAGCTGGAATACGTTAAATTTAATTTATAGGTTTCAGTTTTTAGTCTATGTTTTTATTATCTATTCACCTAAAACAAATGAAGGTTTTTAAATTATTAAAAAGGTTACCGATGTCTTTAGTTATTAAGGATTTTGGGTTTAGTGAGGCGTTATGGTGTTCTCCTCGGGTTTCAGTCGTTGTGCGTCGCGTGCGC